TTGGCTGTGAACCGTGGCCAATGGTAGCTGTGGGGGGCGGTGCCTGCAGGCAGAAGCAGTGTGCAGAGCTGCCTAGCCATGCCTCTGAGCTAGGAGTTGAGGGAGAGGGATGTTGCTGTTTCTGGGGAGCCCCCCAAGGTAAGCACCGCCTAGAGCCCTCACACCACCCCCCCCCCCATGCCCCAGCCCTAAGCCCCCTTCCACACCCAAACTCCTGCTGCTTCGGGAGGTGGGTATGGTGATCCGAGACTGCCCCAGCAGCGGCTGGTGTGCCGGGCTGCCTGAAATGCCCAGGCAGCACCCAGGCCAGGTGCACCGGCTGCTGCAAAAGTCACTGAGGTCATGGAATCTGTGACCTCCGTCACAAACTCACAGCCTTAATCATACCATATAGTTCTTGCCTCCTCTCTGAACCTCTTGAACAGCAGTGTCTGATTTGGATTGCAGCTTCTTCTATTCAAATTCCAATTTGCCATTAGGAATTTTAAAAAGTTGTAAACTAGATTTTTTTCTTTTTGGTATCTATTAAGGCAGATGCAGTGTAAAATTTGTTTCTCTTGTTACAACCAATTCCTCCACTTCCTCCGACATAATTTGTTGCTGTCACAAATTATAATCATGTGGAAGAAGCTGATAAGAAATAGAGAGCTGCTCATTTACATACAAATACTTGGATAATCAGTGGTAATGGGAAAGAATATATAGAGAAAATATGTGATTGAGGTGTGGCTGTAGTCAGATGTTGACATATAAAAGTAGCATGTTTTTAACTCTGCTGATGTGCTCACTTGTAGCTATATTGGCTGTTTAGTTCTCAAAGTAATAACTGTTACTGACTAAAATTGTTACTGCTTTTTATCATTTTTCTCCTGTTAGAATTAAAGAATACAACTATTGGAAAGTGATCTGTACTCTTCCATCACATGTATTAAAATAATTGTTTAACTAAGTTTTAGCTCTTGGTAAGGGGAACAGTAGTGGGTTTTATACCAGGGCTATCTTTGGACCTCCGTTCTCTTCTAGCTGTAGAAATATAAAAAGTGCTTTGTGTTTTTCGAGCATCCTCAAAAGCCTCTTGTCTGCTAAAATGAGTGGTGGTGGAGAGAGACTTCTGTTGTTCTACACTTCTCCCAACCTTTACTTTTTGGGTTTTCCTCCCCAGTGAATAACTCCAGGATTTGCCTCTGATGCTGTCCCCAGGATTCTGAATATCAGACATGAAATAGTTCTGTTAATTTCACTCCACCTTCACTTGGCAAAACTAATAGCAGCAGCAGAGGCACTGGAGAAGTCTGTCTTCAAACTCAGGAGGATGACACTACATTGGTTTGCACTTAGTTCCTATTTGTGTTTGTCTAAGCTTTGGCTAACACATTTTAAAATCCTAGTTTACGCAGGGCAAATTGTGTGATTCCCTAAGTCAAACACCTATACCACAACTTGTTTAAAATAGGATTTGCTTTGTTTACACTAAAGTTTAAGTGTGTTAGCTAACCTAATTTTTTTAAAACACCTTTTATCCTCATCTAGACAAGGTCTTGGTGGAAGGTTATCTTTGCCAGTCATAAGGTCTAAAAACTTCTTTTTAAATAGAAGTTTAGATTCTGCAGAATGGGATAATGTAGGTTCCTTCCCTTGCTAAGACAAGTGGGTATGTGGATTTTTAAGGTCTGCTTTTATTTATTGCAGTCTAAAATATACTACTGCCTAAGTCTAATATGCAGTTTAAAAACAACTACAGAATAGCAGTGCTAGCTTGGGTATGTTTAAATAGCCTGGCTAGAAAATAGGATATATATTGCTTCAGAATGACTCACTGGTGGCAAATACTAGTCTTATTTATTGTTAGGGCATGTATTTATGTAAATTGCAAAATTAATAAATGTAGTAATTAAAATGTTACATTTGCACAGTTAAAGATAGGAAATGTAAATCTTAAGTTACCCAACAATTATTTTAACTTTCACAGTGTGCATAATACAGTTTCCTGGTTAAATGTGTATCTTACTGTATATGTAATAAAACATATACAATATAATGATATATGCAGTATGGCAGGGTTACTGTTTCTTTTTTAATCTTTTCTGTTTTCTGACTTTTAAATTTGAACAATGTAACCTTAATGTTGCATTAGTGATTATTGGGGGATAGGGTTGCAATTAATAAATAATATTTAAAAACCATGAATGAACCCATTTCAGCTTCTAAATAGAATAAAACGAGGGGAAAACTGTCTTCCAGAGTTTTATCAGACTCAGGACGTGCAGAGTATAAAATTGAGTGAGGTTATATAAGAAGCTTGTGGGAAAGCAGTTATAAGAACTATAACTGTATCATAATACAATGTGTAGTAATATTCAAAATTTGCAATGTTGACAGGATGGTGGCAGTTATTAGAAGGTTCAAGTTTACAAGTTTCATGACATGGTCAAGCCAGACATGAGAACAACTAGCATCACAAATGTAACAAAAGTCAATTTGAGTCTGGCATCTCTTCTAATGACGGCTGCAACAGATATGACTGTTCTGGGGAAAGATCTTTCTTGAAGAGGGCTGCAGTAGAGGCTTAGGACTTGTCTACACAGGGAAATTTACCTGCATAACTATAATTTATTGAATTTTATGGTAAATGCCACACTTTCCCCCCAAATCAATATAATTAACCTGGTATAATTATGCTGGTAAATTTCCCAGTGTAGGCATGTCCGTAGTTATTTCTAATTCTGTGGGTTGAATCTTGCCTGATGAGCTTATCTCTTTAACACTATTAAGGGTATTACATACATTCCTTTTTGTTGTTTGGAGTCCAGAAAAATTGCAACTCATTTTGTTCATCCAAAATTCTATGTTCCTCATTGTGAGAGTAAGGTAAGAAGAAAATTTTAAGTCTGTGTATAGCTGAGGATATGAGCAGGACAGGGTCTCCCTTCCTTCACTCCCACCCCCGCCCCGTAGGGAGCTGTTAATTTTTGTTTTAATTGATGTGATTGCCAGGAAAATTTTTTGCCTACTTTCATTCAAGAGTGACTGCTTATTTAAAATAATCATATAGTATTTTGTGCAGTCCAGCTTTAAGTGCCCAAAGATTTCACCCTTTACTTGGGAGACAGATAAGCTGATTTATGTGGCTTGCTGTCAGGAAGGTTTTTCTGATACTCATTCTAAATTGTCCTTTTCTTAATTTATCCTGGTCCTTATACTCCTACCACCTGACAGAAAAGCCTTTGCTTCCATAGTATTTACATCCTTTATATGCCAAACTATGTGCATACTTAGGAAGAAAGAGCAGCACTGCTAAATAAGTCAATCCATATAGGATAGTGCAAGAATGGCTTAATCGGGTGCCTTGTGCAGTCCTTTGAAACAAAAATATTCACATTATGTATTTTATCATTTGAAAATAATATACATGCTTTTAAAAGGTTTAGCCTTGAATACACATGTGGGTGGGATAGTAAGTAAGATACCCTTGGGGGAATTCTGCACCAAAAATTAAAAATTCTGCATATTTTATTTGTCAAAATAACACAATATAATCATGCCAATTTCAATTATTTTGGTAAATTATTTCAAAATACCTGTCAGCAAGTATGTCTGTAATGGTACAGACAACAAAAAAGATTCAGGAAATGTTTTTTGGCAAATAAATTTTTTACTAGGCATATTAATACTGAACTTTGGATAGTCATTTAAATTACAATACAGAAACATATTTCCTGCACCCCTCAGAAGCAGTGCAAAGTCAGGTTTCATCGAGGGGCTGAGGGAGAGGGAGGTAATTGCTGGGAAGGAGCCTGGGAGTGAACCTGGAGAGTTGTTTGGTTATAGGTGGGAGAAGTATGGACAGGGGTTTTTTTGGTGGGGGAGGGATTCTCGGGGACCCTCACCCATGCTGACCCCTAGACTCTCCCATTCAGTCAGGCACATATGACCCTGACCCCGTGTGTCCCTGCACCCCCACTCTCTGTTCAGCCAGGCATATCTGCACATGTCCCCATGTGTCTCTGCACCCTCCCTCAGCCAGGCATAACTGCCCGTCTCTGTGTGTCCCTGCCCCCCCCCCCCCCCCCACTCAGCCAGGCATAGTTCCACTACCCCTCCCATGCCCCCCGTCCTCACATGTCCCAGCACCTCCACTCCCATTCAGCCCCTGGCTCAATATTGTTACCTCACTAGCTCCTGTGCTCCCTCCCGGTCTGTCCACCCCTCCTCCCCCCATGCTTCTGAACCCCTGTCTGTGTGATTTTCTCCACCCAGCAGCCTTGTGTGCCCTGCTCTGTCCGTGCCCCCATATCCCATGCCTCCTTACTTGGCCCCACAGGCAAGGCCCTTTGAGGAAGGCAGCCTCTGCCCCCTCCCTCTTCGTGGCTGGCTGCTCTGGCCCATGAGCCAGCTGCCCGCTTTTCAGCGCCACATCAGTCCCTGGTGAGCGAAAGGTGTAATTGCAGCTTCCCTTCACCTCCCCGTCAGAATCAATTATTCTGCAGGGGAGGGAAATAATCTCTGGGGGGACATAAATTCTGCACTTGTGCAGTGGTGCAGAATTCCCTCAGTAGCAGTAAGAGCTTAATAAAGATAAGCTTAAGGTGGTGCATAAAAATACTTAGCATTACATATCTGTGCTGCAAACATATGGGTACTATAAACATTAAGCTTGAAAACAGACATAATTTGGTATTATAAACATGTATGATATATATCTGTTAATATACTTGCTGGATCTCCCATCATCAGTACCATTTGGACATCAAAATAACCTGCATGGGCGGGAGGTTTACTTGCCATTACAACTTGGTTATATGATGCACCCAAGTATGATTCCATAGACAGAAAATAACTTCTCGGTATCCTGAAATTTGAGTGTAATCTAGATTTCTTGATTTTTGGAAAGTTTTTACAAGTCTCATGTAAATGAAATTATGTCAAGATGATAAAAGTAAGAGAACATAGTAAGTAGAAGTATTTGATATTTGCTGATGTACGTTTTAATGTATTTGCAGAATTGAAGATGCTGATATTTCTGAGAGAAGTGTCAATGAAGAAAATGGTGAAATATCAGAAGGAGAACAACCTCAGAATAAGCACAGCCGACACAAAAAAAAGAAACACAAACACCGAAGTAAACACAAGAAACACAAACATTCTTCAGAAGAAGACAAGGACAAAAAACATAAACACAGGCACAAACATAAGAAACATAAACGGAAAGAGGTTGTTGATGCCTCCGACAAAGAAGATGGACCAGCAAAAAGAACTAAAATTGATTTCTTAGCTCCTCTAGAAGATTTGGAGAAACAAAGAGCATTATTAAAAGCTGAACTTGAGAATGAGTTAATGGAAGGAAAAGTTCAATCTGGGATGGGGTTAATATTACAAGGTTATGAGTCAGGTTCGGAAGAAGAGGGAGAAATCAATGAAAAGGTGCGAAATGGCAATAGGTCTTCAACTAAATCATCAAACACTAAGGGGAAACTAGAGCTTGTGGACAATAAAACAAGTTCCAAAAAAGCAAGTAAGAATGAATCAAAAGAACGGACTAGGCACAGATCTGATAAAAAGAAAAGCAAGATAGGAATTGACGGAGTGAAAGAGAAAACAACTAGAAGCAAATCAAAAGAGAGGAGAAAATCAAAAAGCCCATCTAAAAGAACTAAATCTCAAGATCAAACAAGGAAATCAAAGTCTCCGACCCTTAAAAGGCGGTCTCAAGAGAAAAATAGAAAGTCTAAGTCTCCTCCGGAGGATAAGAATAAAGCAGATGATAAGAGTAAAGCAAGAGATCGCAGAAGGTCTCCAGTTGTAAATGAAAGCAAAAGTCGAGATCGTGGCAAAAAATCCAAATCTCCAATAGAACTAAGAAGCAAATCCAAAGACAGAAGGTCACGATCAAAAGACAGGAAATCAAGGAGATCGGAGACTGACAAAGAGAAGAAGCAAATTAAATCTCCTTCAAAAGATGCTTCTTCAGGGAAAGAAAACAGGTCTCCTAGTAGAAGACCTGGCCGCAGCCCTAAAGGAAGAAGCCTATCTCCAAAACGTGATAAATTACGAAGAAGCAGATCTCCTCTTCTTAATGATCGCAGATCAAAACAGAGTAAATCACCCTCTCGAACTCAGTCTCCTGGTAGAAGAGCAAAGAGCAGATCAGCAGAAAGGAAACGAAGAGAACCAGAAAGGAGGCGTCTTTCTTCTCCCAGGTAACTTTAAAATATTAAGAAACACCAAAGATGCTCAAGTAAGTGCAAAATTCAGAAGGCTTCAGAATTTTGTACTATCATCTTAAAGTACAGCTTTATAGAAAAGTAGCTGAGAAAATGGCATTATGAGATTGCATATTTATTGTCTTAACTTACAGTTCCTGTGTGTGTTCAGTTCACAAATAGATGTATTTTCTAACTTCTAGTCATTCAAACCTAACCTGGGTTCTGAGAGTCATGCTTTTTGTGGCTCATTCATCATCCCTAATAATAAATATTCTGTAGCTCAAATTCTGTTCTCAGTTCTGTCAGTTGGGCATAGTATTTTGCCCTGTATTTTGAAAGTAGTTAACAATCCTGTGGAGTGTGCACAAGCTTAAATAAAATCCAGTTCATCCTTCTATGGCAGAGTTGGGTCTGTAATGCTGACGAGAACATTTTAGTAGTAAAATCAGCATATATGACTGAATACACACCTCAGACTAAGAAGATGCTATTTTTAGTCATTTATTTAAGAGACTTTCACTTTTAAAGATGATTTTTGCTTGTTTGAGCCATGCTAGCATTTATCTTGCTGCTTTTTTGCATATGTGTTTGATGGTATGGCTGCTTAGCCCTGTGCAGCATCACGCTTCTTAACTATACCTAAAATCAGGGGAAACGGACTTAAATCTCTTACTAAGTGCATTCTGAATTTTATGCTTTATTTTTGATGATAACAGTAGGAAAAATGGTTAAGTATAGTTTTAAATTTAAATCCATAGAAAATCTGTTTCCTGGTGGTTTTTGTTTCTCTGAAACAGATAAAGCTGGGACAGTAGCCATCCTAATAGAAGAAATCTTCTTTAAAAATATATATTCATTTGTTTGAAACTAAATCATTTTAAACAAGAACAAAAACTTGAGGAAAAAGATTGTAACGTTTGGTTTATAGATCTGTCTTTTTCTTAAGAGTGCTTACAGGTCACCTGGGAGCTGCAGCTGCTGCAGTATAAAGCAGCACATTTTAAAAACATCAGTAAGTAACTTTTAATTTATACCAACGGGTCCAGCTCAGCAGACAGCTGGCCCAGAATTGAGGATGTAAAAAAATTGGTTTAAAAGTCGGGTTTTGCAGGCACCCTGTGCTGAGGCTAAAATCTAGGCTGATAAATCTAGGTGTCTGAAATTTTAAAGCCCCTCTAGCTGCTTGAATGGAGAGAGATTTTTTTCCTCACTAAGCACCCTACTTGCAAGCCTGCAGACTAGTGGAGAGATGTCTGTACTGCTCTGTGCTTCTCGCTACTCTCCTGGCTGTAGCAATGGAGTGGGGATCTCTGTTGCATTGTCCTCCCATTGCTTCTTGGCTGCAGTGATGGATTGACTCCATTGCTCAGTGCCTCCATAAGCTTCTGGATTTTTCAGAATCCTCCTCCCTCATAAATTTTTTGCTGCTCATAGTGTTCCCAAGCAGCCGCAGAATGATGAGTCTTAAGTCTTATCTGTGCTGGAGATTTGCTTCAGTAGCTGGTGGCCAGCCTCCGGTGTAGCTCCACCTGCTGCAAGTGCCTAGTGTACGCAGGCTAAGCTGTTTGCACCAGTGGCACTCACTCTAGTTTCAGGTAGAGGGAAAGCTCCACCAGCAGAAATAGTGGCTTTGTTTGCCTGCACTCTGGATTTGCACTAGTGGGGGTGCGCTGGTGACTAGTCACTGATGGTGGTAACCGGGTAAATCCCCATTGTGGACAAGACCTTATTAATCTCACTCTGCCTTTGCTCGTGATAACTCTGGAGCTACCAGCTTGAGGACTCAGGAAGACAACAGTGCATCATTAACAGCTCCTCCACTCAATGCTTTGCCCTTTGCTTCGTCAGCAGGTTTTCAGTTCATGTAATTGCTCAGACTGAAATTGGTTTTGTAAGTAAATATTTCAAATAAGCTTTAGTATTTTTACAATATATACCAACAATTCTACATGAATGGCAAGGGAATAGTTATGCAGTGTTTGCATGACAGATGCAACATAATGAAGGCATGAGATCTCTATCAAAACTGTGAATAGTTTTCTAATGAGATTGTGACACATGATTCAAATGTAATTTTAAACAACTCTATATTTAAAGTAAAAAAATGAATATATTTCAATATTATTTTAAAATTATTTTTAACCATTATAGCGTTAGGACTATAGCTTTCTTTGTTGTTATGGAACCTTATGCTATGATTCAGTTACACCACAGTAAACCGATTTGGGCTGGATTAATAATTGAAAGGGAGACCTCCAAGAAACAATGGTTAAAAATAATTTTAAAATAATATTGAACTACATTAATTTGTTTACTTTAAATATAGAGTTGTTTACAATTACATTTTAATAATCTGTCACAATCTCATTAGAAAACTATTCACAGTTTTGATAGAGATCTCATGCCTTCATTATGTTGCAGCTGTCATGTAAACACTGCATAACTATTCATTTGCCATTCATGTAGAATTGTTGGTATATATTGTAAAAATACTAAAGCTTATTTGAAATATTTACTTACAAAACTGTGGCCCTTACCAACAGTATGGAATTGGTTCAGTAATGTCCCAAGTGAAAAGATGCCTTCCACAGAATCACCAACACTCCTGCTACAATAGTATTCACATAATGTTAATTAAATCACGGCTGGCCACATCTGTTTTCTAAATTAAAATTGACTCTACAGTGATTACAGTTAAGTAGTTTAAGCCCAAATTTGAGCTATTGTAATGTTGTGGAGAAGATCCTCTGGATTCAGTTTTTATTTTATGTATATATTCATTTCAGCACTGTTGCACATTAACTTAAAATAGGCCATTCTTTTACTTCTTCTAGCTCTGTGATGGTAATTAACAAATTTTATTGCGAGAGTTGTGCTGAATTAGGTCTGTGTTTGGGCAGATATTTCCAGGGATGGGAGACATGCAAAGCAGACTGGCAGCACTGAAGTATACTTACCCCTCTGGTGGAGTCTCAGTTGCAGTAAGCTTTTAAAGTGAGCTTTAAGAGGGAGTTGTGATTTTTTTTGTTTTCAGTTTGCCCCTGATACCAGTGTCTTTCTCTTCTTCTTAATTTCAAGAACCCGACCTAGAGATGATATTCTCTCTAGACGGGAGAGATCAAAAGAAGCCAGCCCACTCAGATGGTCACCATCCAGAAGAAGATCTAGGTCTCCGATCCGAAGGAGATCTCGTTCACCTCTCCGACGTAGCCGGTCTCCAAGAAGGAGAAGCAGGTCTCCTCGGAGGAGGTAAAAAGTCTTGCAATGAAACTTTTCTTTTCAGTATTGTCTAAATACAGGCCCATTATTCAAATTGGATAGAATAAAAATTAAATATTTTATTAGCTCATTCAAAACAGCTCTGTCATGCATATATCCTCCCTGCCCCCAAAAGTTATACATTAGCACATTCTTTCACTCGTCTTAGCCTCTTTCAGAATATTAATGTTAGTTTAATTGTTAAAGCTTACTATTTTAAAGGGTTGTTTGTGCCTATTTATATATTTCAGTGTCAACTAAATATTATTTGGACATAAATCAATACTAAACTAATCATAAGCAAATTAAATCATATACTATTTTTTTCCCTTCCTTCCTGTATTTTTCTTCTGTTCAACAGGGATAGAGGTCGGAGGAGTAGATCTCGGCTTAGGAGGAGGTCTAGGTCACGGGGTGGTCGTAGACGTAGGAGTAGAAGCAAAGTTAAGGAAGATAAATTTAAAGGAAGTCTTTCTGAAGGCATGAAAGCTGAGCAGGATTCCTCATCAGATGAGAAGTAAGAATGAATTTCTAATATTTCCTAACAAGTAAAGATTTGGTTCCATTAATGGGGAGAATTAATTATTGAAAGCTTTGTATTGTGTCCATTTAACAAAACCAGTGTAATGACCTATTCTTTCATGTTAGCGAAGGGCCCTGACTCTTACATCGTTTCAGTACTAATCTGTGTGGTAAAACGGTTTTGTGGTGATCAAAATCTTTTTGTATAATTATAGAGAACTTGAAAACTACCTGGGAGTATTGTCTAGTGGGCAGGAGAGGGCTGTGTTCCCAATCCTGAGTTGCTGTGTATCTTGGGCAAATCACTTAGGCTATGTCTACAGTAGAGACCTTACAGCGGCACAGCTCCCATGTAGCCACTCTGTGATGGGGGAGAGCTCTCCCATTGGCATAATTAAACCACCCCCAACAAGTGGCAGTAGCTATGTCAGAGGGAGAACATCTCCCGTCAACATAGTGCTGTCCACGCTGGCATTTTTGTTGGTGAAACTTATGTCAGTCGGTGTGTTTTTTCACACACCTGACCAACAACGTTTTTCCAACAAAAGAGCTAGTGTAGACATGGCTTTAGGGCATGGCTACACTTGCAGATGTAGAGCGCTTTGAGTTAAACCAGCCTTCGTAGAGCGCAGTAGGGAAAGCGCTGCAATCGGTCCACACTGACAGCTTCAAGTGCATTGGCGTGGCCACATTTTCAGTACTTGCAGCGGCATTGGGAGTGGTGCATTATGGGCAGCTATCCCAGCATGCAAGTGACTGCAACATGCTTTTAAAATGGGAGGGGTGGAGTGGAGTGTGACAGGGAGTGTGTTGTGTGTATGTGGGGGGTGGGGGGGAGTGAGTTTTTTGGGGGCTGCCAGCATGTCAGCATGCTGGCTTGTAAGTTCAGACAGCAGCAGACCTCCCCCTCTCCCCCCCCCCCCACCCTCTCTCTCTCTCACACACACACAACACTGCACAGTAACGGCTTGCATGCCGGCTGTCAGAAATGGAGCTTTGAAAGGGCATTTCCGCATTCCTACAGGAGTTCAAAACAATGACAAGAGTGGCCACTTGACTTAAGGGTATTATGGGATGTTTCCGGAGGCTGATCAGTAATGCAACACCTCATTCACGCTGATGCCCGGGCGTTGTAGCCAAGGCGCAGCAAACGTTATTCCTCTTGCCGAGGTGGAATACCAGCAGCGCTGTAGCCGCAGAGTCAGAGCATTCTGCATCCCTTGCCAGTGTGGACGGATAGTGAGCTAGTGCGCCGGGGGCTCCATTATTGCACTGTAACTCGCAAGTGTAGCCAAGCCCTTAGTCTTGCTGTACCTCAGTTTATTCATTGGGGGGGAAAGAGTTTAGAATAGTACACCACAGATGTAAGGCTCAATAAAGCATCATAAATTGTTTTGAGACCCTTTTAAAAGGATATATTTATATTTAACATTCACGTCTTCAAGGAGAAGTGGAGCTAAGGGTTCAAAAAAGAGTTAGATAAGTTCATGGAGGATAGGTCCATCAATGGCTGTTAGCCACGATGGTCAGGGATGCAAACCCATGCTCTGGGTGTCCCTACCTTCTGACTGCGAAAAGCTCGGAGAGAATGATGGGATGGATCACTCAATGACTCCCTGTTCATTCCCTCTGAAGTACCTGGCACTGACCACTGTCAGAAGACAGGATGCTGGCCTAGATGGATGGTTGGTCTGACCCATTATGGCTGGTCTTATGTTATTAAGAAAGATGAATTCAAACTGGAACAGGTGCAGAGAAGGGCTAGTAGGGTGATCAGGGAAATGGAGAACTAATTTTACAATTGGAGACTAAAAGAGCTTGGTTTGTTTAGCCTAGAAAATGAAGACTTAGCAGGGATATGATTGCTCTATGTAAATATATTGGGGGTAAATGTCACAGAGGGAGAAGAGCTATTTATGCTAAATGACAATATTGATGCAAATACAAATGGGTGTAAATTGATCATGAATGAATTTAGGCTGGAAATTAGAGGAAGGTTTCTAACCATCAGAGGAGTCACGTTCTGGACAGCCTTCCAATAATAGTGGGGGAAAACAACCTAACTAGTTTTAAGGTGGAGCTTGATAAATTTGGGATTAATGGGATTATGTGATGTGATTACCTCTGAGAGCAGGGCATTGTACTCAGTGATGCAGGGAGTCCCTTCCAGCCCTATGTATAACATGATAGCAGATAGGTGGGCAGCAGACACCACCAATTTGGTCAACTTAATGTACCCTCTCTACACACGTGCACATCCTACTTAACTTGAAAGCTTATTATGTCTAGTTTTAAAATGAGAGATGATGTGGAATTGTCCAGGACTTTTGTTACCATGGGGGTGGGGGGAAGAGGGGAGATAAACATTAGCTTCATAAATAGGTTAAAATGACCACTTTGAAATATTTATATTCATTTCTGTTAGTTTAATGACACTGTATTATTTCAAGACATAATGCTGGATTTTTTTGTGAGCTCAAAGTATCACAATCACAATCTAAAGGGTAAATCAGATTCTAATAATACATTTGTACAGGTATCATTGAAATGTAGTAGCACTACTTGCTTTTCTAGTCAACATCATTAGCATCTTGTTCATCATTATGATCTCTATTGAGAGTGCATGGGTTATCACCATCTTCATTGCCTGGTCCTCGGCATGTACACAGTTCTGTGCAGGGAAGATTGTTCTGGCTACAGACACAGTTGATAGAGCAGCAACCCCTATTGGTACAGATGCAGATAAGGACTTGTAGGAGCTCTGATACCATTGGACTCTTGAAGAATACAGGAAGTAGTTCATCATCCACATTTTTCCATCCACGTTGCAATGGTGAGCCAATATCTGATTTATCTGTGTGTGAAAACATCTAAATTTTTGTTTGCCAAGATGCTCTTTTTACATGCTCTTCCAGACTGTCCTCACATGGTGAGAGTTTGCCAAGTGACTTGCCATTTTTGGTGGCTAGATTGAGGTGCAAGCAATTCAGGTCTCTGTTTCTTACTTTAGTCATATAGCACTGCTACCAGTTTCCTTGCCACAGAAATTGCAAGTTATCTGTCTCTCTCCCAATTTTGGAAAGATCTCTGAAGCAGTAAGCGCCTTTTGTTCTGACAACATTTAAATAGGGATGACTGTCACATCCTGTTAATGTGTCTACAGCAGCAATTATGTTGCAGAAGTCAGGACAGGAACGCACACGTATGAAGCAACATTTGTCAGTTGTGCTGGTAATGGTCCCTGTTTCAATCCACATGTTAGCTGTGTTCTATTTTTGGAAAGTAGTGTACAGCAAGGACTAAAACATCTGTATCAGGTGACCTAATTACTGTGGTTCCTTTGACAACACCAAAAATATATCTACACTGCAGTGTAAGCCCAGGGTTTGAACTAAGGCGCAAACCTAACCGCATTTTCGTCTACACACAAATTGCTCTAACCCATGGCTTGGTCCCAGACCCCAGGGGAGTGGAGAGTCCAAGCCTGAGTCAAGCTGGGACCTAGGGTTCAAGCCCTATTGCTTTGCAGTGCAGACATGGCCCCACTGGACTCATGCTCTGGGAGTCTGCCAAAAGAATCTCATGGGCCAACTTTTTGTCTTCTGGACAGTCACGTTTTCCCACACTTCACCATGAATAAAAGGCTAGAGTGGCCACATTTTGGGAGGGTGCTAGGAAGTCTGAAATATGTGTGGTTGGACTTTGGGCCCCAATACTGCAGTGTAGATGCTGGAGCTCCAGGTTGGGGTGCAGGGTCCAGCAATTCCTAACTTGGGGTTGCAAATGAGTGTTAGATGCTCAAGCCCTAGATTAACAAATCCAGAGTCTGCTAACTTGAGTTCTACTAACCCTGGGCTTATATTGCAATGTATACATATTCCAAGAAGCCCCAAAGCCATATTGCCACGTACAGGATGCAGAAGCATCCTTGTGTCTGCTTCCTTGTGAGTACTGTACAAGTCTCGGGCTTTTTTCAACACCTCCACTGGTGGTGGACTTTGCTACTTCACCTTTGGAAAAGCCCCCAACAGGGAGTATTTGTGTTGGGTGTGCTCCTCCATTCTCATGAGCATTTTGAACGATTTTCATAGAGGAATTTTACAGGTGACTTGCTGTTGGATCCCGTATTTAGAAACTTTTTCCATGGAGGTACAGGATGCCCATCAATCACCTGGTATTTCTTGGCATCCAACCTTAGATCCTGTCTGACACTGTATTTCTGTAATTTTCACAGAGTTATTGTCATCTCTCTCAAAGACTTTGATTATAGAATTAGCTTTGTCAAATATTTTTAGGACCTGCCTCAAGTACTCAGCATCCAATTAATCAGATGTGTGGAATTTGTCTCCAGCCATTATTTGTTTCACAGCCAGAGCATCTCTGATGTACACTATGGTTTCTTTGTTGGATGCTGTTAGCTGATGGATTATTTCAGATTGAGCTTCCAGCTGTTACCCTAATTCAGCTTTATCTGTTTTTATGTTTCCATCAGCATGGAAGAGGGACATAGGCCCAGGTTCTTCTTCTCAGGGTGAAGAAGAGTTGGTATTGAAATATCTGTGCATCTTGCTAAGGAGAGGGTTCTTCAGAAAACAATTTCTGGACTGATCACGGCTGTTATCGTCCCTCCCTTGCCAGATTTAAACTTCGCCTGCTTGTCCATGTCAGCAAATGTTTTGATGCCAGATTTCTTGACCAGGCTGAAAAAGCTGCATGTCCCATCAGAATCACAGATCTCTCCATTTGTTCTTCACCATCCTTTGCTATTCTCAGTGGAGACTCTTGTACATCTCATGTTACATGCAATCCAGTAGATATGTTGATAAGTGCCTCTGGATGTGAGTCAGGGTCAAATAGGTTTGTCATATTGTTGATAACATGGTTGGTAAGAGCTGTAACGTGCTCTTCGTCCCTCTTCAGTGCAGAAGCAAGGAGTTTTTTGTGGACTTTGTCTTACCTACTTCTTGTTAGGCCACTTCTTTCTCTCATAGCTTTTGCATATTCATAATATGAAACTATATTGTCATCTATAACACTAATCTGACCTGTGCAGAAGTGTCACTGAATTAAAAAGCTAGTTTCTGGAATATTTCAAAGACTAGTACTGCATGCATAGGCAGTACAAATTAAAACCTTCTACCAGGCAAACTAGATGCTTCATCATATGTAAAAAAGCTTACAAACGGAGAAGAATTACATTAGGAATTTGCATACATTTATATCTACTCACTATGCAGTACAAATTAGGGACATGCAATCTACTGCTACGAGTGCACCACCGTAATCATTTCTGAAAAAAATAATGCTTCCCCAGGCAAAACCAATAAAAATCTTTTAATACATTGTCGTTTGGTAGCTGTGATTAAAAGGAACCCCATTAAGATAATTATAATTAACGTAAATATTAAAAATTGTAGTCCTAGTCATGTTGTGTTTCTGGAATTGAGCAAAAAATGGCTTTCGTTTTGAATACCATTGTTTCACCTCACCTACAGGTTTACGGCACCACTTGACACCTCCACATTGTACCTCATCTAAGCATGCATACAATAAGCTTTCAAATGATACATGATGTGGGTATATGTAAAGAGGGTACATTAAACTTCAAAAATATGGCTGTTTTTGCAGAATTGCGGCACACCGAAGAACATATGTTTTCTCATAAAGGAGGTTCAGAAAACTAATTTTGGGATTTCCTTTGCTTTGCCTCAGACAGTTGAACCTGTAGTAAGACTAAAGAGGAGTGACGTTTATAGTTATTCCTATGCTTCAAAAGAATCTGGGTTCTTGTTTCCAAGTATTTTGAGGCAAAGAGTTGTATAATTACTCTTAATTTCAGATTGTAAACTCTCTGGGACAGGGACTACATCTTTTCTAAGTTCTGTAAAGAACCATATTTTTTTATGGTGCTATACAAATATTAATAATTCACAGCCTTGAAGACTTTGATGTAGAAGAAGAAGATGAAGAAGCTCTGATAGAGCAGAGAAGATTACAGAGACAAGCAATTGTTCAGGTATGCGACTATTAAAACCCTCAGACTACTGAAGTTGTCTTTTACATGTACAGTAAAAACCTTTTTTGTCTTACTATTTCTTTTAAAATAAGATTGGAGACAGTGACATTTTTCAAGTGGACACTTACATTAATAAAGCTAAGACTGTCACAATCTGTCACTCATTTTTCAATGTGGTTGTAAAAATATTGTCTGGGTTGAAACTTACATTTTTGGTGCACAACCTTTTTTAAAAAACAGAAGCAACTTACACCAAATGAGTCATTTTTCTGACAGTTGGCTTTATAACTTAAATTACTATAAAATTATGTAATGATTGCATCAAAGGATAAATCATACATTTATTGTCTTCACTGGTATATTGCTGATACCACAAATGACAGTAGAGTGGAGGTTAAGGCTCAGAAATATTGATTGTAATCTGATTAGTCAGTTTCATTTGAAATGAAAGGTTTGTCTTCTATGTAAGCATTCAGAAAGCTGAGCAGAATTGGTGTGATTTTTGCATGTTATGAAACTGTTAGGTACCATGAATGCCGTTATCTGATATTCTTAGCATACTGTTATTTATATTTTAAACCCATAAAATAAGCGATGATTACAACAGGTGCTTAATAATAATAATGTTACCCTTCTGTGTGGTTACACGTAAAGATGTACTGGTGCCACCTTGAGAAACGTTACTGGCTAAATCCCCCAAATCAGACAAAATGGAGTAAAAATACCTTCCACCATACTCAAAGGATCACTTAACTCACTCTCATGGCACCACCAAGGGAAGCAAATTCCAAAGGTCAGTGCCCTTAACTGAAAGAGCCCTGCTGCTAATCCTGGAGAGTATAACCTCAGAATCTGACACCAAGATCCTCCTAAATTGTTTGTAATGTCTGGGACAGGGCATAGAATAAAAGGGCATCAGTCAAATAATTGGGCTCCATATTATTCAGGGCAGCAAAAATCATTTGCAAAATTTTATCGTTGTGATACATTTTTATACAAGCACTGAATAACTTAAGATGAATATAGGGAACTAACTGAGATCCTCCAATTCAAATACTAAAATTTCAAATAACACTTGAGATTTCTACACTTTCAAACTAATATAGAATAGTAAATGTTTAGGTTGCAAGACTCAAAGCTCTTGTTTTTTCTTTGAAGCATGAGTTCACTTCTTATACACCAGAATATTAGTAATGGACTTCTCAATGCTGCTGTTTTGCCACACATGGTCAAGTGCTATCCTTCTTGCCTTGCTTTCTTAACCAGTAAATCAGTTGTTACAAAGGTTTTATCAATAAATCTAAATGTCTAAAAAGGTATTTTTGAAGTCTTGTCTCAGGGTATATTTTGACAAGACATATGTTTCTTTCTGTATCCCACAACTAGCATGCTGCATAATTTGATTAGTGTTTCAGATAATGTATAAAGAAAAGATACAGATTAAGCTCTAGAATGAGCTAGTTAGATTCAGGAAAAAGTATGCCCCAACATACACAGTAGAATTAGATTGGGACAGGTCATGATGATGAGAATAACTTTATAAAGTTTCTTTGCAGAAATACAAGTACCTGACTGAAGACAGTAACATGTCTGTGCCATCTGAACCAAGCAGTCCTCAGAGCAGCACACGTAGTCGTTCAAATTCGCCAGATGACATTCTAGAACGTGTAGCTGCTGATGTTAAAGAGTATGAACGGGAAAATGTTGATACATTTGAGGCCTCTGTAAAAGCCAAACACAACCTCATGACAGTTGAACAAAATAATGGTAAGAATCTGAAATTTCATTATGCAATTTTAAACAAAATGCCTAATCTGCTTTGCGGGCATATTTTGTTCAGCTTTCTTAATATCATAATTTCAGACTGAAGAAATTTAATTCTTAGACAGTGTTGAAAATTTCCCACCAGAAAGTTATAGAACTGAACTGTTAAAATTAAACACTTTCTCAGGGATGGTGGTGTGAATGTGAGAGTTTGTTTTCAGGGTTCCTAATTATCAGTTAAGCAGTCAGTGCTGCAAATTAGGAAGAACAGACATTAATGCCTTCCTTTATATTTAAGAATGAACTGTCAATTTATTTTAGTTTAATATATTTTTAAATCTCCATGATATTTGACACTTTCTTGGAAGATCGCAAATTGTTTTTCTGCTGATGGTATTTTTTCCTTTTCTGTTTGGTAAACCTTGACTTATTTTCATCTTAGTCATTGTCACTGAGGAATGTGCACAGATCTGTGAATGTTTTAATTGCTGCCACAAAGCAAGAAGAAACTCTTACCAAGTTGTGCTTTGCTACACAAAAAATGGTTTTTATGGGTGGAAGGATTTGTTTTGTCTCAACTCTGAAAAATACACCAAATTGTCAGTTTGTTATATATAAAATAATAGTATTTAGAAAGCACCCTGCCAAGGCACACTTTTGTGTGCTACACAAACAATTAAAATACTAAATAATTAAAATACGAAATACACAATATGATAATTAAAGAAAATACAGTTAGAGAAAGTCAAGTAGTAGTACTTTAAATTAAAAAGCGATAAATAATTTTGTTCTAGGATTTTAGGGGTGAATATTACAATAAATAGAAACATAAAAGGAAAGCCAATTTTAAAAGATTGCCCTGCTGCTTGTCAGAGCCAAGTTTGATCTGTGTTTTGACCTCCTGTGGAGGCAGTATGATCTGCTATTAGGGGACTAGCAACTGGCCAGAGTTCAAATGTAGGATGCGATATGTGCATGGAGCCGGGGCGGGGGGAGGGAGAATAAATGAGAAGGGGCACAAAAAATGATATATGAAGAAAACTTAATATTTTGGTTTAATCATTTTGCATAAACAGCTTTTGTATAATCTCAATTTCATTCTCCTTTATTTCTGATGTAAATATTGTTCAAGAGTAGAAGTGTAGGGTAACACCAAATTCTGTGGAATGTAGGTAACTTTGGGGACTAAAATGAAAGACATTTGAGAAGTATGGTGAAGTGCCCTCTTTCTCTTAACGGTGCTCTCTCCTTGATTCAAATGATTCCAGTCCAGTCATCTATCATAAGGAGGCTGGTGGCTGTCATGTAGTCCTTGAAAGTGCAGGATTTTGGGGTGTAATGCTGGGGGAAGTGGGTTCCTCAATACTCTGGGATGCATGTAACTTACTCCAAAATATTAAAATTATTCTACTTTAATATGTTATGAAATAATTCCAGTTCTGTCTTCATTAAAATGTACCCTTAATTTAGTTTCTTTTACGTTATCAACCCTATAAAATGTCTTTGGGACATTAAAGATGATTAAATGGCGAGAAAGGGGTAATCTTGCCTGCATTTTAAAATGTTTCTTTTAAATAGAACAATTAAAAATAGCATCAGCTATTTTATCTATCCTGTCAAGAAGATTTTTTTTCTGACTGTGTGAGAGAAACTTCCATGAAAAGTGTGTTGGGGGTTTAAAATTTTTAATAAAGTACCTCATATTATTGGCAAAAATATAATTCTAAGTTATGTACTCAGTCTACAGGTTTATCCATAGGAATGTGTAGAATACAGAATTTTTTCCTATTATGTGAATTTTTGGAAAGCCATTACAGTTAAGTCTTCAATTGAGATTTTTTTTAAAGCAAATGAAAAATTTTAAGCTCTGTGTTGCATTTTTAAACAGGTTAATTATGTAAAAGAATATGCCATAAACCAACATAATCTAGGAGAAATGGTAATAGAAGTGCCTGGTTGCAGTCTCATATAACTACATTATACAGCATTAAACTTATTTACTAGATTCTTAATATAGAGAAGATAACTGCTAACACACCAGAATACCTCTATTTATTGGTAATCAGTGCTTTTAGTTTTTCTTCATTTTCAAGTTGAGTAATGTAAATTTCCTTTTAAGGCTCAGCTCAGAAGAAGCTATTAGCTCCTGACATGTTCACAGAATCGGATGATATGTTTGCTGCATACTTTGATGTAGGTAATTTTAGAAAGATAATTTATACATGTTATTTGCTCGTTGCTGTGTTGTTAAAAGGACACTGTCAAGTCGTTTATGCCTGTATTTTGACTCACTAAAATTTGTAAAATCGGGTGGATAATATCTTCTGAAAACTTTAATAGAAGTCCATTGAGCCACATCTGGAAATTCTTATAAGTACCATCCAGGAAATCTCACTGAAGTCAATGGGAGTTTTCCCTGGATAAATACTGGGGGATTTTGCCTATTGTTCATGCAGGACCTGCAGTGGCTTTTGTGCATTGTCTTTGCAGAGGAAGCACAAAGTAATATAAGAAAAAAACAAAAAAGCTACTCCCAGAATTTGTACAAAAATGTTAGAAATAGGACTGTAAGTTTGTCATCATAATTGGGAAATGCAGTGGGCATCATGGTAAGTGTCACACCTCAGAAAAAGGGTGACAGGATTGTTAGTCACAGACCGGTTTTGTAGTTACAACATTGCCTTTGGAAAGATGCTGTGGGATTTAGTTAATCTACAATTACATGGTTCTCCATATAGGTTCAGGATGCTTTATTTTCTCATAAAAAGAACAGGAGTACTTGTGGCACCTTAGAGACTAACAAATTTATTAGAGCATAAGCTTTTGTGGGCTACAGCCCACTTCTTCAGATGCATAGAATGGAACATAGAGTAAGGATATATATATATATATATATATATATATATATAGAACATGAAAAGGTAAAAGTAGCCATATCAACTCTAAGAGGCTAATAAATTAATATGAGCAATTATCAGCAGGAGAAAAAAAACTTTTGTAGTGATAATCAAGATGGCCCATTCCAGACAGTTTACAAGAGGTGTGAGGATACTTAACATGGGGAAATAGATTCAATCTGTGTAATGACTCAGTCATTTTGCAACAGAAAAGCTTCAAAAATAGACTCCAACGAGAAACTGCTGAACTTGAATTAATATGCAAACTAGATGCCATTAACTTAGGCTTGAATAGAGACTGGGAATGGCTGTGTCAAGGATGGATTTTTCTTTTAAGGAAACAAAACATAAAAATCATGGAATTAATTATTCATACCAGATGTCATTCTTTAATTACAAGTGGTGTCACCACAAATAAAGGGGTAACAAAAAGCCATTGTAGTGCCACTCCATTAACAACAAAGGAAAACTAGAAGCTGCGGGAGAGAGACCACAAATCTTGTGTGTTACTAGGAGTGTACATTAATGCTTTACTAAATTTTACTTATGGTAGCAACGAAAGCTTTACATATCTGTACGATTTAGTAGTAGTTCTGTTGATTTTTCTCTCATAATTCTCATACGTTGGTGCTTAAGGGATATTTTGTGTTTGATACTTCCTTTCCTAAAAGGTCAATTTATTATTTGAACTGTAGAAATAGAAGAATATTGGTTAGGAATGAGATGATAAATAACTGAATGGATTTCTAGTTTTCATAAGCAAGTGTAATGAAAAATCAGTTATATACAAAAATGTATTTTGAATATAATAGAAAAGCTAATTGTTCGCTTTATTTCAGAGTGCTCGTCTTAGGGCTGCTGGCTTTGGAAAAGACTTCAAAGAAAACCCCAATCTCAGGGATAACTGGACTGATGCAGAAGGCTATTATCGTAAGTATTTTTTGCTAACTTAATTTACATTGTCTAAAATAGGGTTGCTAAATGTAAAAGCACCTTATTAAAAAGATTTGCAAAATTATTTTGAAATTGCATACCACAGTGCCATCACTTAAAGTGTGGCTCACCCAAAGCAGCTGCATGTTCCTGCACTATAGTGTTCTGTCAAACTGCTCACAGGTGCGTCACAGAATCTAACAGTCAAAGTAAAATTAAAACCTATCCAAAGTTATTTACAGCCATGAGATCTCCCTCCAGAAGGAAGGGTTACGTCAGCACGCTTGCCATGATCTGAAACCAAGAAAAACAGCATGCAAAGAACCTTGATGCCCATCGTGCTGTAGTTGTCACCCAGGACTCAGAATGGAAGCGCTTCAGTGAGCACATTTCTTCACTACTCAATGTTAAACTCAGCAGCAGTTAATAAAGACCAACAGAAACATTTCTTGTAATGGGGTGAAATGGGCATGCAACTTCTAACATTGTTTATGAAAAGACTCCTGACCAAAGGAAGCACAGTTTCAGTTCCCCACAATTTCCACAAACCTAGCTACAAAGCACTGTAGACCTGACACAATAATTAAGTGACTGCACTGTGTATCTTTTTTCTTTCAGAACTATACAGAAAAGTTTCTTTTTGTCAGTTATTCTACTTGTGTGTACTTAGCTCAGAATTCATCTTATTTCCCTCTTCATTTTCTTTCCTAGGTGTTAACATAGGTGAAGTTCTAGATAAACGTTACAATGTTTATGGTTACACTGGCCAGGGAGTTTTCAGTAACGTAGTGCGAGCCAGAGATATGGCCAGAGCAAACCAAGAAGTGGCAGTCAAAATAATCAGGAACAATGAACTTATGTAAGTCATGTTTTGTTAAATAGTAAAATAATGAGATTTACTGCACTAATAATCTAGTCATAAAGGTGGGGCTAATAATAATCTTATTAATTATCTGTATTGAATTTTTTTTCTAGAAAATCTTCCAGTACTTGGTTTTATTCCCACTTGATGTTTCAAGTGAAATAATCTTAGGTCTATCATAGTCAATAGCAATCAACATCCAATTGATTACGATACATAATTATACATTTTAATGAATATTTGGTAGCAGAGGAGTAAGACTCTGCCTACGTGGAAAGTAAATTATTTACAGCTCTTTTGAGACCTAGAGTCCCTTGTTGAGTAATGTAAATGTTACAGTAAACGGTATTATCCAGTATAGTTGCAATACTGTGAATTTAAAGTTTACTGCTTTTGTAATTTCCTTTCCTTTCTCCATGAAGAGGATTTCCAATGTAAACCTCCCCTATCTATTTTAACTAGGGGTTTTAAAATGTCTTATTTTGTTATTCCATTAATTAAAATAAGTTATTGTACTGAATCAAGACTCTTAAAAATTCTCTAAAATAAAATAGTGACCGTGGTACTTTGATTAGCTCACAGATTATATTTAAATGTGAATCTGGATGTGAATTTAAATAATATTAAGTGAACTCTCTATCATGTGCAACCCATTCAGCAAAAGATTTGCTAACAAGTTTGTTAAATAGATATTGGATTGATTTTTTATTTTATTTTTTTTTAAACAGCAACTCTCTCAAAACCCAGTATTGAGTCAAACCTCACAACCCTGTGTGGTAGGGCGAAGTCCTACTTCCATTTTACATATGGGAAAAGGCAAGGAGAGGTTTTATATAGACATATGAAACACAAAAAGGTCAAATTATTTGCCAAAGACAATAAATGTTGAGACTAAAACGTAGATCTTTTGACTATTAGGGCTGTGTTAAACATAAGACTGTTACTGCCTTCCTAACATTTTGAGAGCCAGCCAACTTAATGCTCATGTTGGATGTGATGTGTAGAATTTCAATAATTTCTGGGCCAAAAATGTATTTCTTTGTTTTTAGGCAAAAAACTGGTCTCAAAGAACTGGAATTTTTGAAGAAGCTCAATGATGCAGATCCTGATGACAAATTTCATTGTCTGCGATTGTTCAGACATTTTTATCACAAACAGCACCTCTGTCTCGTATTTGAACCACTCAGGTAAAATGAATATGTATTGAATTGTGTATAAAAATGAAAGTAGATTTAAGTGCATTTTAATCTTTTTTACTCTTAACTTGAAAAATTTCTTTACATTCGGACTTTTTAGATTCTGCTCTTAATATGTCGTAAACTTACTTAAGGCAATCAGTTCAAAAACCACTTCACAGATATACAGAGGAGTACCACACTATTTTAATCTACTTAAAATGACAATGTCAGGGTGGCATCTGGTCCAATACAATAAAATGAATTAAAAATAGTATCAGTTAGTATTCCTGCCATGAGTCGTCCTGACAATTGGCAATTCTTTTTACACTATATTTTTCTTTCCTAATATTCATAGTTCCTTCTTCATCTGGAATGGTTTCAGAGGTTCAGAATGCATTCATATCATTTGCTAAGTATGTCTGGGAACATGTTACTTGTGTGTATACAACCACGTAGGATACATTCAGAGAAAATCAATAGAGTGATTCGACCTTTAATTTTTACTCTAAAATGGTATAAAGGTTCAGGTTTCTTGTGACAGACTAGATTCTCTACTTTGTATTTTATGACAGTGGACTCAAAAATGTCAAAAAAACTCTTTTGGGGTTACATTTCTACACCAAGACTATCAGAGTACTATGAATCCTAAGCTTTGTATGTGTACAATCAAGTAATTTTCCATGTATCCCGGGGAAAGTGATTTTGAGGTTTATGAAGTAATAATTGTATGCTGTGATGGGATCCCTGGGGTATAACCTGGAATTGGGGTACTGCTGTGCCCTCTTAACTCTCCAGCCTGGGCTCTCTCTCACACTGCTTTGCTAGTGACAAGCAGCAAACCCCTCCAGGCACTGTTATCACTCAGTACAACAGCTGTGGAGCCCCACACCTAGCTAAGTTGCATGAATGCTCCCTGAGCCACTCTCAAATCACACAGAGAAAGCCACCAGAAAATTTCCCAAGCACCCAGCCTTGCACCCCAGAACTATACCATCTTGCCCTGGTCAGAAGACTGACCAGTGTAAGTTCATTACCCAGTCTGCCACTCCCTCAATGTGGAGAGGACACAAACTAGCCTCTGTAAACTCAGCTGAGATTTCTCAAGCACTTTAACCAAAACACACTGTTTTAGGTAAAATTATAAAACAGATTTATCTACAGAAAGATAGAACTGAAGTGATTATAAGTGGTAGGCACAAAAGGTCAGAGATCGTTACCAAAGGAAAAAAGGTAAGTGCGTAGTCTAAATCTTAAACCTTGTTAGACTAGGCACTATTTGGATCAAACAGTTTTTCTCACCCACTGGATATTGCAGGCAGGCCACAGATCTTAATACGCAGGCTTCCCCTGGGACCAGTCTTCTCAGTTCAAATCTTTGTTTTCCCAGCATTCTTGTTGCTTCCGGTATAGGTGGGGGAGGAGAAGGGTAAAAGCATGACGCCACTGACCTCTATTTTATATCCTCAGGCCATGTGCCTGGAAAACACTAGCTGAGACATGTCCTGGTGGGCTTTGCTGAGTCACCAAGTTGAGCCGTCTCCCATTGTATGATGGTTGCGCAGGCCTCTTACAGCATTGTAAATCCCTTGATTACAACTCCCCTGCTCATTAATGGTTATGATTATCTTTCAATGCCCGCCCAGGTGTTGGTCACCTCCTTTGTTCTCACTGGAGAACTAGCAGTGGACAACTTCCAAACTTACAACGTATTTCAATAACAAGCATGCAGCAAAATCTCATAACTTCATACACTCTAATGATATACATATTCTGACAGAACAGTGGGTTTCAGTGGCTCGTGACCTTTCATGTGATATCTTACATGGCATACTTTGTTTTAAATATTACAACTATATGTGAGTGATGAATATGGAGGTTGCAGGATGCTACTTTGAGGTACAGCGTGTCACAACTAGACTAATAAACTGAGACCAAAGGATGTTGTTTTTTATGGAGCAACCACAAGTTATCAGCATGCAGAAATGTTTTTGTCCTCAAGTTCTGTGCTGTATTTGGCTGTTAAGTCCCTTTGCTCTGTTAGTTTTATAAACATTAGCCAATCTATTTGCCTATGCCAACAACCAACATGGCCAGCTCAACTTCTGTATTTCTACTCCCCAAGTCCCAGTCTTGTCAATGTTTTCCTGCCCTGTTTTGCCCCTTGAGAAAATTTACACAAAGACCATACAACTGTTGAGAAACTGTCATAGTTTTTACACACAAGACACTCAGTGAATCCTAATGAAGCTGCATAACTGTTAGATAAGCACAGTCATGTCAGTAACTGTATAGAATCTCTTGCTCTGATTGGCTGAGATTTTTATTTCAGTATATGGCCTGATGAGAAGGAATCTATTTCAAGTTGGTCTGGTTTAAGTGATTTTTTTCCTACTGCCTAAAAGAGAATTTTTCTGTGCATTAAAATTGATGTTTAAAATATGAATATGCTATTCTTTGTTTAATATTTTTCCTATAATTTTTATATACATAAATAGTATGAATTTACGAGAGGTACTGAAAAAGTATGGAAAGGATGTCGGTCTCCACATTAAAGCTGTACGGTCCTACAGCCAGCAATTGTTCCTGGCATTAAAACTACTTAAAAGATGTAACATCCTACATGCTGATATTAAACCAGACAATATTTTGGTAAGTAATATTTAACACTATAAGACAGCCTGTACAAAATACATGTATGTTTGAAAAGGGTGTTATCTGAATTATAAAGTCCAAATTTTGTCATCCTTTACTCTGAAAAAAAGTTTTTGATTTTGCATTAGGACATATCTAATTGTCATGGTACAAATAGTAAATAAGAAAATAAATGTAATTCAATCAAATATTTTCTGCTTCCAATTAAAAAACTTTTAACACTAAACGTAACCTGTGATTTTATCCTTTAAACCAACACAGCAACTGCCCAGATATCCCTTCATGTTCCACTCTTACTTCTTTAAAAAGAGGGCTTCAGTATTGCAAAGTAAGGAAGCACTCTTTCTGAGAAGAAAGATTTTGATGACTTTTGAGATAATGGTAGCAAATGCTCCCTTTTTGTGAGGGTGCTAGCACAGACATGTCTGCTGCAAGAGCCAAACATGCTAGCTGGCTCTAAATTGAGATGATTCCTTTTATTTGTATGAGGGGAGTGGGAAAGACTCCTTAAACTCTCTTCCCCATACCCTTGAAGCAGAGGATAGGCAAACCCTCATTGGAGTTAAACACCAGAACACAGGTTGCATCTGGTTCACTTGATGTATTTGTGGGCCACATGACAGATTCAAATACTACAGAATCTGAGCTTTCAGTTACTTAAAAATGTAAGTTTCTAGTCTTCCTGGTTGTGAAAATAACCTGAATATGAACCTAGTGTAAGCAATTAACTGTCTTTTGAGTGTGCATCAATTTGAAACAATATCTGAGATCCATTAACTCCCTCTGTTATCCTTCATTAATTGTATTGGGGTGTTAACTCTAAAGCAGAGGTTCTCAAACTTCATTGCACCACGACCCCCTTCTGACAACAAAAATTACTACACGACCCCAGGAGGGAGGACCAAACCCTGAGCTCACCCGAGCCCCACTGCACTGGGTGTGGGGGCCAAAGCAGAAGCCCCACGACTTCAACCCCAGGTAGCAGGGTCTGTAACCTGAGCTCTGCCACCCAGGGCTGAAGCCCTTGGGCACAGGCTTTGGGCTGGGGCTTCGACTCTGGGCCCAAGCAAGTCTAACGCAAACAGGGTCGTGACTCACTTTGGGGTCCTGACTCACAGTTTGAGAACTGCTGCTCTAAAGCATAATCATGGTATTTTGAATATTAACATTAACTATTTAAGTGCTGGTTACTTTAATGGATGGAAGGTGGTGGAAGTGAAACTCACAAAGGAGGAATTTGGAATTGCTGTAGGGAAAGAAATGCAGGGGGTAGAAAGAAGGAGAAAAAGAATGGGAAGATAGAGAAACAAAATTAAGCAAGCAACAAAGGGCAAAAATAAGTAGGTTTAAATGTGAGCTTATTTTTTCATGGAGGGATGCTGAGTAGAACAATAAGATACTGAACAAATAATAGAGAATACCTGAAAGTTTAATAAGTAAAAACCATATTCTACCCTTGAGCTTTATGCAAATCATTGGCTTGAGGGCCATATATAGTCTTAAATTTATACCCTGGCCCTTTTTTTAAAAAAAAAAAAAAAAGAGAGAGAGAGGGCGCCAAATTTATATGTAGTGTATAACTCCTTTGAAGCCTCCAGTAACAAATTTGGCTCTGTTTCTATAAAAACACATGTTAAAAGCTGTTTTTAATGGTCAAGTTAACTTAGGCTTGGTCTGCACCAGTGGTTTTCAACCTCTTTACATTTGCAGACCCCTCAAAAATTTCAAATGGAGGTGCCCCTTTGGAAACCTTAGCGTATTCTGTGAGAATCCCCTCACAGGGTCCATGGACCACAAGTTAAAAACCACTGGTCTACACGACAGACTTTTGTTGATATTACTATGTCATTCAGAGGTGTGGAAAATCCACACCGAGTAATGTAGTTATACCAAACTAGTCCCCAGTGGACAGCACAGTGTCGATGGGAGGGCTTTTCTGGTCGACATATCTACAGCCACTTACGGAGGTGGAGTATCTATGCTGATGGGAGAAGCTCTCTCCCGTCAGCATAGGTAGTGTCTTCTCTAACGCTAGAGCAGCGCTATAAGTGTAGACAAGCCTTAAGGCACAGCTGGGGTTAACTTGGTTCTCCCCTCCCGATTCTGAAGCTTGCATGAATGAAAAATCCAGTTTGCCTAATTATCTTGTTTAATTTGACTGTTCAAAGAGATTAATCTTTTCTAACCTGACTATATTATAGATCTCTCTCTCTCTCTCTCTCTGTCTGAACTGTGTTAAAATAACTTAGCTTTTCTTAAATACATTTTTAAAAATCAAATATATTGAGTTAGAATCCCCTGAAGGAAATCTGAATTGTTCCCTTAATGTTATCTAAGGTGAGAAGTCTGACTAATTTGAACTGATGGATACCTTCCCTCTGTTCTCTTGAAAGCATCAACTAAGAAATAATTTCAGTGCTTAGAAGCATGACTTGTAATAGTATTATAAAGGATCATAAAGACTTGAAATAATGAAGAGGATTAAGTTAAATGGAATAGGTCCAAAAACTCCTACTCTAGCTCTCCACCCAAGTATTCAGAAACCAATTTAAGTGCTCAGATTGACAGGTTATATTATACATTTTAAGGTTCAATCAGAACTTTCTTCTATGTTCCCTACAAAGTTTGAGCTTGGCTTAACTAATTTGTGGTCTGTCCAGCCACAGAATGAGAATACATTTTTTCCCCCCAAGATGATTATATCTTTTCTTATTAGCATGGTTGAAATAATCTGTAATAAATTTAATAGACAATGTAGTATAATCATTTTAACCAAATAGATGTGTCTGAAAAAAAAAAAGTGAGCAGGCAAGAACATAAGGCTGTTTCTATTTCTAAAATTTCCTATTTACTCAATGACTGAAAGAGGTTTCCACCTATAACATAGTTAAAATATTGAGTTTTAAAAATTGCCCACATGAGTAAGAATTCTACTGTCCAAATATTTTAAAGCTAATCTTTAGACTCTATGTGAAAAGCAAAGGCTTTACGTAAGGAATCCTAAAATAAGCATTCTGTCTTTCAGTTCTTCTGCCCAAGAAGCTTTAAGTGCACCCTTTTAAAAAAGGAAATCAAACTGTGAAAGATCTTAAGGCCTCAATTCACATCCAAGTATCATTTAAAAAAAAATAATAATAATGTCCTTTTATGAGTTGTCAGCAACCCCTAGAAATTACAGCTTTTCCTATAACTACAGTGATCCAAGCTATCAATGTGATCCTCATTTTGATAAAGGAATTCTCTATGGCATCTAGCCATTTACACACATACAGGACAATATGTTCTATTAGAAAAATAAAGCTCTCACCTTTATGATGTTATCTTCAGTTTATTCAGGGTCATCTCCAGCTTTTGCAAATATTTCTGAATACAACTTGAAAAATTCTTGTATGCTCTTCCCCTTTGGTGTTTTTTGTATTAGTCATACTAGAAGTTCTGGCTCAATTTAGAATTTTGCTTTTTTCAGTATAGAAGTTTTCACTTTTCCATTCATTCTACAAACAGAAACAAAAAACTACATGCACGTGCAACCCTACCCCTTTTTTCTTAGAGAAAATCCAGCCATCAAAAAATTCCAGAGGCAAGTGACTTTAAAGTTAAGCTCTGGAGTGCAGTGAGGTCTCACATTTAAACTTGTGTGAAAAGTACTGAAGTGCATTGCTTTAATCTTAGCAAATGCCTGTTCAACTTGTGAAAGCTGAATAATATAACAAATAATAAAATAATGTTTTCTGACTACTTGAATATATATGTCCTACTGGAATATTTTTTCATATTAAAGATTCTAAATTTTATTACAATACATACAAAATGAATATTTATGTTCGTAAGCGACTTCAACAAATGTTCTAACTTTGTATTGGAGGCATGAATTCTATTCCAAACAGTGTAAAACTTTCTAGAATTTTTTTTTTTTGGCCAGTCCTTTATAGTTGATTCATTTCATTTGCATATGAGGTATTTAAGACTTACTGGTGGTGTGGTAATCTAATAGAGGCTGTATGTTTCCAGCTATAAGAATATTTACCTGAAAAATGACATGAACTATGTAATATTAATTAGCTAAGAACTACTAATTCCAATGTGCATTGTTATTACTGACACAGTAAGTTGATGTATGAATACCAGATTTAGAGAGTGAGAAATTTAGCCAGCTCTCTGGTTTGGCAACAGAGCTGAGTGCTGCAGTTCATGCTATCCAGGTATGGAAGTGACTTTTGGTTGCTCTTTCCTTGTGATCATTGGATTGCATTGCAGAGGTGACTCACTTGGGCTCTGAGTGGAAAATGATGTGCCTTCATTACATGAGCACATTCTGGACCAGTCTTCAGACAGGGAATGTTGTCTAGTTCTGTGCAGGCTGCTACCCTGTCTTAATTCGCTGGAGCAGAGACTCTCAAACTTTTTTTTGCTGGGCCTCCCTTTGAAAATATTTCAGGTTGTGATGACCCTCCCCACCCCACTCTTGGTACTGGATATATTTTTCACTGCATCAGTGCAGAGCTAAGTAACCATACCATCCCCCCCCCCCCCCCCTTACTTCTGCACTGCTGCTGGCAGCAGCACTGCCTTTAGAGCTGGGCAGCCAGCCAGCAGCCACTGCTCTTTGGCTGCCTAGCTGTGAGGCAAGGGAAAAGGTGATCTTGTGACCCCCTTCCCCAATTGCCTTGCAACCTCCTTTTTGGTCGGGACCCCCAGTTTGAGAAACTCTGCTCTAGAGAAGTAGATTGGGGAAGATTTAGGGGATCCTCAGGACCTTTTATATGACCAACTTTTGATCAAGCCAAATATGGCAAGGAAGAGCCATTTCTTTGATGACTGGGGGAAGAGTGACAAGGACTCTGCTACTATTTGAAATGTGTATTGGTTCTGTATTTGGGGGAGGCGCACGCTGAGTTTGCCTCAGCTCAGAATTTGTGTATGTTTCTTTTGAAGGGGAAAGACACATTGGAATGTAATTAATCTTCACTTATTAATCCTGCACATTGTTCGGGCTCATGAATGGCAGCCTGGGGAGCAGATTCCAGCCTTTCTCACCAGGTGTCATTCTTACTGTGTACATAGAAGAAATCTTAAAAAAAAAAAAAAATTGAACACACAGTTCTTTGACATATTTGTCCATGGTTTTAATTTTTTTTGTCAATCATATTAACTCATTATTTTTTATGGGCTAGTAGCGCGTGCATTTGATATAAGTAGAGAGACAATATAAATTTGGAAATGTTATTTAATGGTCTCTCAGTTTATAGACAAACAACTGTAAACTTAGTCAAATTGACCAGTAAAAATGAATTTTAAATTAAGTAGTTTTTATGATGTTGTGCCATTCATTGTCATTTCCAGTTTAAGAAGGTATTATAGTTTTATTAGAATACAAGGAACCAAGATAGAGTGGGGGGAACAAATATTAAAGTTAGTTGAGGGGATTATTGGATGATTTGATATTGTCTTGTTACTGGTGTATGACAGTTTATGTACTATCACAGCATCAGTGACCATCTATGTACTGTCAGTGTGCCAGTAAAGTTTTTATTTAATTTGCAGGTGAATGAATCTAAAACCATATTAAAGCTTTGCGATTTTGGATCAGCTTCACATGTTGCAGATAATGACATCACACCATATCTTGTCAGTAGATTTTATCGAGCTCCTGAAATTAGTAAGTTTATCTGACGTATTTCTCTCTGTATTTAAATTATGTAAATACTTGACTGGTAATTATCATTCATGGCCATATGTATTCGGAACATTGATGCTTCATAGATACTCTAAAAACTAAAACCAAAGTTAAAACAATAATCTTAATGTAGCCAGTCCCACGATCTGTCAGTAGCAGAACACACTAGCATCTGGTGAAAGAGAGCTTGAGATGCTCATTGTTTGGTCCTAGTCAGGCAGGGATTTGGGATGTTGCAGAGGCAGAACAGACAGACTTTGGTGAGCAGAAGCTCACATGACCTTTCCGGGGGAGGGGGGGGGCGCGAGGGATGGGCAATTCCGGTTCACAGTTTTCACTGTTTTTTATTTGTGGAAGCCAGGGCAGTTACAGTTAAAGCCCTCTGTCATGGGAAAATGGAAAGACTTTCATTCTCTTCCTTTGGCACTTTCCTCTTCTTAGGAATATGAGTTTTAAGGTAGCTCCTAATTTACAGGATCTGTTTATTCTTGTTGTATGTTATGTTTATGCCTGCTTTTGTGGTATTAACTGATGTAATCAGAAAACTCTTCTGTTTCAGTTATAGGCAAAATCTATGATTATGGTATAGATATGTGGTCAGTAGGCTGCACGTTATATGAACTTTATACAGGAAAAATACTGTTTCCTGGCAAAACCAATAACCATATGTTGAAACTTGCCATGGACCTCAAAGGAAAGATGCCAAACAAGGTAAGAAATGTGTAAACTGTTTAAAATCTCATATGAAATTGCAGTAATGGGCATCATAGTAAACACTGAATTCGGTCTGATGTCTTAACAGCGAGCATATAACAACCTTTTGACTGTAGAATTATTGATTATAAATTTTATGACATGAAAGTACATGACTTCTTTTTCATAGACTAAGTGTTAAGTGAAAACAGAAACTTCTTTTATACACTGAGCTGAAAAAATAAAACACGTAAGTAAATGGAAGATAACTGTGTGTGTTATCCAGCTGATTTGAGTGACATTTTATTCAGTCTAGTCTTGCCAGAAACTGGGAATGGGCGACGGGATGGATCACTTGATGATTACCTATTCTGTTCAGACCCTCTGAAACATCTGACATTGGCCACTGTCAGAAGACAGGATACTGTGCTGGATGGACCATCGGTCTGCTTCAGTATGGCTGTTCTTATGTTCTAGTCATTTCTCACTGTTCTCTGAAAGACTGTTAAAAGTGTTAAGTAATTCATATTACTGTAAGTCAGTAGATGTAATCTTCTGTTATGATGAGTCTAAAACCTGAAGTTTTCAAGACAAAGAACTTTACAAACTTCTGCCTCTGTTTTATTTTCAGATGATCCGAAAAGGTGTATTCAAAGATCAACACTTTGATCAAAATCTCAACTTCATGTATATAGAAGTAGACAAAGTAACAGAAAGGGTAAGTTTTAAATGAACTAACTGAACTGTAATTTTTAAAAAAAATTTTTAACTATAATAATATTTCAGTTATGAAATTCAGTAATTAATGAACTATTAATTAATGTCCTAACTAGTATCAAGATACGTTGTAAAGGCTGTTTAAAATATTTTTTTCCCCTGCAGAATGCAGACAGTTTGTGATAGGTTAATTTATGTTCTAGCAACCGGGGATTTCCCTATGGTTTTGCATTTGTTTTAAAAAAAATCTGGTTATTCTCAATCATAAACTGAGTACACTCCTTCATATAATTTAACCTTGTATAAATTTAACTTGAAATTATGAATAAATCTTAATGGTGCTGCCTTCCTTTGTTTTGTTAAAATTAGAAAATGTGCAACTTTTATGTGAAATATTTGTTATAGAATACTCCCTTAAGCCTGGTCTACAGTACAGACTTAGGTCGACGCAAGGCAGCTTACGTCAATCTAACTATGTAAGTGTCTATGCTAAAATTTCGCTCCTGTCAACATAACTGCCCCACTATGCCGACTTAAAAATTCCACCTCCACAAGAGGCATAGAGTCAGTATTGATGTAGTTAGGTCGATGCAGTGTCAGTATAAACACTGTGTTGCTTACATCGACTGTTACTGGCTTTCAGAAGCCATTCCACAATGCCCCATACTGACAGTACAGTCAGTACAAGCGTTTGTGGTGAGGACATGCACCACCAACACAAGGAGCATAGTGTGGACCGCAAAAACAATTCAATGACTGTGGTGGCTGTATGCCGACGCAATTTAGGCCAACATAATTTTGTAGGGTAGATATGCCCTTAGGGATTATAATGTGTACCATTGAATGTTGAAGTGCACCCTAAGAATGCATCAAATTGGCAAGTATAGAACATGCTTTCTCATTTAGAATTCTCAGTATACTAATCCACTGAGTCTCAAATGTAGAGAAGCAGATCTTAAATGAGATGTGCAAGGAAATTAATGCATTTGGCATAAAGCACATTTATTAGTCTTATGTTCAGTTTTCAGTATTTCTTTAAATAACATTTACAGTCATAAGAGTTACAACACTACATATGTGTTAGACAGCAGTAAATTTAGGAGGAATAACAGCAGAGAGAGAGTTCTTTAACTATGTGCTTGTTATTGTGCTCATAGTGGTTTTAGTAACAGTGCTAATTTATATAGAAGTAAATGTTGGTTGCACTTTTTGTATTAGGAAAAAGTTACTGTCATGAGCACCATTAATCCAACCAAGGACCTGTTAGCAGACTTGATTGGGTGCCAACGACTCCCTGAAGACCAGCGGAAAAAAGTACATCAGCTAAAGGACTTGTTGGACCAGATCCTAATGTTAGACCCAGCCAAACGGATTAGCATCAACCAGGCTCTGCAACACGCCTTCATCCAGGAAAAAATTTAAATCAGATGAAGAAGTCCAAAGGGTTTGAGTAGTTAAGATACAAAGACTGAAGAAATTTCACAGCAGTTTATTAATGTATATAAACATAAATATTTCCCCTGCAAAGTTGAGGAAGAATGATATATTTGAATTAACACCAAGGCTGATATTTCTTTTAGAAATGTTAGAGTAATTCTGTTTGTGTCTTATGTGAAAATTTTCACTGTAGAACTGTTTTAATTGCCAAGACTGCACACAAGTACAATGCTAATGTATATGGTTGCAGTTCATATATTAATAAAAAAAAAAAAGCTTGTTATAAAAGAACAGTAATACTGGGTGGTTGATTTGTTCTTAGCAGACTTGGCTTCATTTTTTGTCTTTAAAAAATGGCCAGCATAAATGCTGTTTATATTCACATTTTCCTAGGTGTGTGTGTGCAGGCCACAGCAGCATGCCCTTGGTGTAGTCAGTGCCGAAGGGGGTCTGTTCCTTCTTGAGCCTGCCTGCAGGGATGGTCTCCTCTTTTAAAGCAGGTTGTGTACAACTTTCAGTACACTGAAGGTAAGCTAAACCATCAACATCACCGGTGTTTAAGATGTTATTTTACTGGAACAACTGACAAATGAGAGACAATAGCTTTATGGCAGAATTCCCTGCATGTTTGATAAATGATGTTGTTTTATTTTCTGGCATTGCAACTGTGGCATAGTTACGACTTCTGTTCTGTTCATCACATTTAAAATTTGGAGAATGCGCACTTGATGGATAGAGCGCCTTCAGTGTACTGTTCTTATTACTTTAATTTTTTTAATCAACTTGCTATAGACTTTGTATACATTTTGTTAAATATAGTTCACTATGACATAGAACCAATACTTACAGAAGAGTTTTCATTTACTAATTACATATGTTGGGATCTGATTCTGAAAGACCTTATATCTAAAGGATAGATAGACAACATAATGAAATTTTTAACTATTTGTATGTCATTTTGAAAGTGTACTGCTTTATGCTAAAAGTGTTTCATTTGTTCATTGTTTTCATTATTTGTGATCATGTTGTCTTTCAATACAGGCATAAACCTTCCACTCTTGAACAAAGCAGCTGCTTTTTAAAAGCGGTAATTGCTTCTTTACCTTTTATTTCTTTTGTAAATGAAGCTTTTCTTTAAGAAATGTGACAGTGTTGTCTCTTGCATAAAACAGTTGACACTCACTTATTGTAAAGTGAAGATTGTTCTGCTGCATGTAAAGTGGACCATGCAGATTTCTGTATGTTTTCAGTATGCATCATTAGATAATAAAGTCTTTTGTGAACAAGGCATTTGTAGCCATTTTTAAAAGATTTTGTCTTCAGTGCTGGTAAATCAGGTAATACGTAAGAAGAAACCCTTCATTTTTCTGTAAATCCTTTAATTAAAGGGATTATTAAAAGTTATGATCTTTGGAAGGCGATCTTAGACTACATTAATTAGATCTCTAATTATCATCATTGTAAAAGAAAGAAAACAAACCAAAAACCTACAGATACTGTCTATCTGCTTTCATTGTTATGAAATTATTCCTGTAGGATATATGATTCAATTCAGGCTTTAACTAATGTTTGTGCTATTTTTCTCACTTTTCCTTTTGATGGTGCTGAAAGAGAGAAAGGAAAGCGAGGCACAGGCCACTCTACGCCTACTCCATGGGTCTGATTTGATGAGACACCAACTTCACCTTCCTAACAAGGTTATTTCTGACAGCATGTGTAGATAAACATTTAGCAACAAGTTAAAAATAGTTTGAAACATTTGAGTTAGTTATGCAACATGAAGAATCCAGAATCAAACTTTCCCAATCCATACTGATGTTTTAAATATAGTTTGAGACAAAAAAAAATGCATCTTTTTATTTCCATTTATTATTTGCATAAAAGGTATAGAAAAAACAGGGATTTAGGGTTTTTTTTGTAATACCCTTTTCAAATTGTAAATAGGACTTCTTTATCCATCTAGGCACAAACATGCACACTTAGTGCAATCAAGGATGGAAAATGAGACTAAGCAGTCATGCTGCTGGTGGGGTGTTCCCCACCAAGGAGATGTAATGAACTACAAAGCAGGCAGGTGATGGGTGATGTTACATACCTATTTTGAACCTTCTACCTGTCTTTTCTCAGTTTTTATTTTAATTTTTAATTAAAAGTAAATCTGTTCCTACTTCAACATTTTAAGTTTCTTGTTCATACAGGAAATAGAATGCAGATTTCACTCTTAGTGAAATGAAGAACTAGATACTTGTTAGTTAATTCCACACAAAGAAATTTGCACTGTTTTGGTGACACCTATAACATATCCAGCACTTCTGGTGGCAATTTTACACAGATGTAGTGAAATCCTATTGTTTCTGTTGATTTTGACCATTATTTTGTATCCCTATTTAAGAATCATGAAATGAGTTGTCAACTCCAATAGAAACAATGCACATTATACCTACAGAACTTTTAAAAACTATTCTAAAGAAGAATAAAGTTGCTCGTTTACTTGTTCTTTGTGTTGTAGGTGCCGCTCAAAAGAAGATGATGACCACCAGAAGACATGAACAAAGGTTTCTGTCCTATAAAAGATATGAAAATATTTTTCATGTTATCTGTCTAATCTTTCTGTTTACAGCATTCATTAGCACTATTGGTAATTCTAAGAATAGTCCTGTTGTGGTGGTATTTATATGTATGATGTGCTTGTTTCATTTCTGGTCGATGTGATTTTGTTGTGATCAAATGTAGGAAGATACACAATACTGTATCTGTTTAACTTTCTTCTTATAAGAGAAATATTGGGTATGATACTTTTCCTTTAGGAAGGAGTCAACCAAATTTGTTGGTAAAATATAGATATTTTAGCATCACTGATGTTTTTAAGATTTTACTAGCAGAGGATACAAAATTTTGTTCCCATATTTTATTGTAGCAAGTGCATTATAAATGCTAATACTATCTCTTACTTACCCTTAGCCAACAGAGCAAACATTGTAACTAGGGAGGTGGGTTATGAGAAATTGTTGAAAAACAAGTGGGTCCTGGTCCTTGGCCCTCCTCCAGCTCCCTTTGTGCTTTTCTGGCAGAACAAAGGAGTTGTAATTCTGACTTGAACATCCACCTAAATGGTTCCCCCAGCATGGAAGATTCCTGAGTGGTGTAGAGACATAGTTACCTATTTGCCTCCCCTCTCCCTCTCAGCCCTTGGTGTAGGGGCGAGTTGGATGTGTGACTGGAGTGGTGCTGAACTCTGCTGATTCCCAGCTGTGGCAAACTGCTACAAAATAGAAGAGTCCCTGAAGCTGCCATTGGCAGTTGGCTTTTGGCTGAGGGTGGTATACAGCTGTTTTTGCTGCCTCCACACCTCAGGTCTGGTGCCAAGTGAAACTCGGCTGAACCCAAGCATTTAACCCATGATCCGTGTCTCATGGTGACTGAAAATCAACAAAAAACAAACTAAAAGTGCTTTTGAATCTGGGCCCGCAGATGAGAAATAAATGCACTGGAGATGTATACTAAAAAATCCCTTTACTACTTACATTTGTTATGTATGTTGCTTAGTGAATACGTATAGGTTGACAAAATTGAAAACCATTTTAAAATAAATTTGTTAAATGAATTTTGATTTTGAATCATTACATTTTTTAATAATGTTTTTCCGTCCAAATTTAGGGTAAGTGGCAGTAAACCTCTGAAGAACCTTTGAATATATTGATCCATACACAGAAGGCTGATCATTCTGTGAGAATACAGGAGATATAACTTAATCTTCTACGGTGTATTAAGTCATGGACTGTAACTCATAGTTATAGCAGCAAATGTTCAAACTGGCAATTGCTTCAAGTTAATAAAATAAGATTTTGGAACTTATCTGTATCTTGTGGTTTTTACTTTTGCTCTGTTTATAAAGTTGATAATATAAAGCTTTTAAATACTTTTTTTCAAATATTTGCATACACTAAATCAGGGGCGGGCAAACTTTTAGGCCTGAGGGCCACATCGGGTTTCCAAAATTTTATGGAGGGCTGGTTAGCGGAGGCTATGCCTCTCCAAACAGCCAGGCGTGGCTCGGCCCCAGCCCCTATCCGACCCCTCCTGCTTCTTGCCCCCTGACTCCCCCCCTCCCCCCCTCCGGGACTCCTGCCCCATCCAACCCCCTCATTGGATGCCCCTGGAACCCCCGCCCCTGATTGCCCCCCGCCACCCCATCCAACCGCTCCCCTCATTTCTGACTGCCCCCCTGGGACCCCTGCCCCATCCAACCACCCCTTCTTCCTGACTGCCCCCGGGACTCCTGCCCCCTGCTGTCCCATCCAAAGCCCCCCCCCAGACCCCTGCCCCCATTCAACCCCCCCTGTTCCCTGCCCCAACCCCTATCCACACCCCTGACCACCATCTCGAACTCCCCTGCCCTCTATCCAACCCCCCCCTGCTCCCTTCCCCCTTACTGCGCTTCCTGGAGCACCGGTGGCTGGCTGCACGACAGCCACGCCACCGCGCAGCACAGAGCACCAGGTCCGGCCAGGCTCTGCAGCTGCGTTGCCCCAGGAGCTCGCAGTCCCGCCGCCCAGAGCATCACATTGGCGGCGGGGCAAGCAGAGTCTGTGGGGGAGGGGGAACAGCAGGGCAGGGACTGGGGGCGGCTAGCCTACCGGGTCAGGAGCTCAGGGGCCGGGCAGGAGGGTCCCGTGGGCCGGATGTGGCCCGCAGACCATAGTTTGCCCACCTCTGCACTAAATCATAACATACCAATGTCGTTCTTCAGATTCCGTTTTCTCTGCTCAAGTTTAGGCCAGCATCAATAACTGAGGTACTGCTCCATCACACACTTTCTTTGTGACCTTGAGCAAGAATCATTTAGTCTCTTTGTGCCTCAGTTCCCCATCTGTAAAATAGGGTAATAGTGCACAGGATTTTGTGAGGATAAACACATTAAAATTTATAAAAACAACAAGGAGTCTGGCGGCACCTTAAAGACTAACAGATTTATTTGGGCATAAGCTTTCGTGAGTAAAAACCTCACTTCTTCGGATGCATCCGAATTTCTTC